AGATCATAGAAAGAAAAGTAATAAAATGGATACAATAATGTTTGGTCACTTTATCAAGTGATTTGTGCTGTGCCTTATTTCATTTATTTATACCTTGAAATCGCAGATTTGACAGAGCGGTGCTGTGAGGCGAGCCTCTCTTGGGAGACGTAAAAAGCAACAGCTCACAGGGAGAGTCCTGTGAGGTGCTATCAAACTGTTTTCCCTGTTTATCACAGTTTAAAAAGTTCAAAAATATTTAATTTACAATCAACATGTTTACATTTAAGAGGATGGCTCATAAATTGTGTTTTTGAAGCAAATATGGGTCTTAATCGCGCTCAACCACAGCTTGTAAGTGAGGAAAGCCTCAGGGGGGCGCTTTTGAGCCCAAACTTTGGCTGCATCCAATTCCATCAGAAAGCTCCTTTCTTGTTCTTCTTCTGCTAAGGGCAGCTACAGGTTTGGCTAACATACCTATAATACATTTTAAGATAATTTAAAATGCACTTAGAGTAATGTTTTGCTTCCAATGATGATATGAATCATAAGAAAAGGAGGTGAAGGGTAAGGTTGAATTTAGAAATTGGATTTACCCGGGAGTCGGCTGCAGCAAAACTCGGAGTTTACGGAGGAGACACCCGTTTTTTTACTTTTTAAAACTCATTGAACTTATTTCCAAATGGAGGATTACATGTCTGTGCTCAAACTATTATCTGGACTTAAACATGAAACTGGTCCTAACTGAAGTGGTCTGTGCTGTTCATTAATACCTAAGGTAAGGCCCATAACACACTTTGTACTATTTACAAACGTTTGCGTTTTGTATGAGAAAACAATGCAGACATTAAATCATATTCTGCTGTAGCCAAACAAATTGTGTATAAGCCGCTCCTGTTCCTGTAGGTCCTGTTGGTTTATATGATGTATAATCATATGAACACATGATTGATCCCCCACCGCACGTCACTGGTGTAGCCAGGTCTCTAATCTGCGCAAGGCTGAGAAAGAGCGCTCAGAGGCTGCGACAGATATTAGCCAGACAGAGCTTCATAAGCTTCTCCGACAGCATGGAGCGGGTTTTGGGCTGCAAGGAACGCAGGATAGTGATAACTTCTCGCTCCCGGCACACGCGGAGGGGGTGCGGCCGCACCCCCCGCACCCCTAGTTCCGACGTCTATGGGCCCAATACCAGAGAGGTTGCCTCGGGACGCTCCGAATGACCAGCAACGACCTCCACCTCAAGCCTAGGAACGTGCATGCCGCCATGCTCCACCAGCCAGGATGCAACAATATGTTTCAACTCTGCTTTCTTTAAGTTTTTGTCCACTTCAATTTGGCACAGGTCTGCAATATCAACTAACTCAGTTTTCTTAAATTTATTCAACTCCTCCTCTGTAGGATGTGATAAAAATCTGTCAAAGTCAGCCATATTAAAAGTTTGCACGGGAACACCTGAGAATATTGCGCACGACAATTCACTTATTAAATCTACCAAAATTTGGTACCTACTTCTTTTAAATGAACATGGGAAAAGGATTTTCCGATCCCGGACGAGCCCCCAATTTTGTTACGTCCAGCTCAGCTAGGGAGTAAGAACGTAGCAAAAAACCAGATGAAATTGGCATTTGTCCATTTTAAAGTAAGTTTTTAATGATGACAGAAAATAAAATGAATTGGGAAACGAAGGAGGAATACAGAAATAATAATAATATTGATAATACAAAACGAAAGTCACTATACAAAACTAGAGCTCAAAATTACAAAGTGACAACGTAAGGGAACAGAACAATACAGGAGGAGCAGTGACGGCAGACTGGCACGGACAAGTCCAGCTGCCCCGAGCTGACGGCAAGTGGGAGGTTTTATGGGGACGCCCTCAGTGATGGATCCCCGGGGTTGGAAGACGTCCACGCTCTTGTCCCACTACAGCCACTCAGGTGTCAGACCGGCCACGCCCACACTTCAAGTCCATCCAATAGATCTCCCGCACAGACACCTGTACAGAACACGAAGGCGCACACACAAACACAAAGGGCAACGGGAGCGCCATCTAGTGCACAACTGGCACAATAGGTCGTTGCCCGTAACAGACCTCGGAAATCTCGGTCCAGAAATGTGCAGTTCTAGGAACAGCAAAGATACTGCGCAGAACTTTAAGAAACTTTGAGAAACACACTTCAATCCAAGGTGACTAGAGTTGGGTTTTGTTCACCTAGAATTTGAAAGGATGAGTGACACTTTCATTTCAGATAAATGAAAATTGTTTGATTGATTCTTTTCAGCTGTTGCTTATTTTCTTATCAACCCATCATCCAGACGTGCTGCTAACTCCGTCTGTTTGAATAATGATCAGATTGACAGTTTTTCTCTGCTGTCAGACTGCAGAGAAAATGTTTAGCATATCGTTTAGCACTATTGTTCTCTATTCTCACACAAAAAATGATTTGATCTCCAAAGACTTATTTCATATTTTTTTTCATAACTTGCACTGTATACCATTGAATTTTAATATCCAACATGATCAAACGATTTAATTATTGTAATGAGATAGCCTCTAGTGAATTGAATTGGCCTGTGGCACACCTTTTATCTATTTAACTTTATCTCATATTTTCAGATGAGAGGAACCCCTTCTATTTCACAAACAATCCCTGTCTAATTGAGGAAAACACAAGGGTCTATTCTACCTCCTGTCGGGGTCCAGATCCGGCCCATGGCTCCTCTCTCCAAAACTCAAATTATTTGGTTGTTGTAATCTATCAATTAAAAAAGGTTGTATTTTCAACAATATAGCGCCAACCAAAAAACATTAGTCATTCTGATCAATAAAAGATTGGGAAATCTTTGACCTATTAATTTCAAATTATGTTTATATACTGTATGTATACAGGTTTCTTATTTTTTTTTGTATTGCACAATTAATAATTTGAAATAAAGACTACTACTGCTATTATTGGTAAATCCAAACAATATCAGCTATAATTCTTTTTCAGTTTTTCCAACTGATGAATTTTGAGTGTGCAGAAATTGTGTATTTACTTACAGCAAATTAAAAATAGTAGCCCAGAGACCTCAAACCTCCTAAAAATCTGGCCCTTTGTAGCTAAATTTGAATAGCTCTAGGCAAAGCAAAAACATCACCAGGTCCAAGTCAAACAGCCATGACCAAAAAGGCACATGAGGCAGCTTCAAGTTACCGCGGTCATGTCACGATTGTCACATTACACAGCAGGAGATAAAGAACCAAACTGAAACCTTACTCAACAGTTAATCTGAACGCTGCTGCTTATTGTTAGATCTGAACTTTCCATGACATAGCCTTATATTGTTCTTACTCTGGGGCCATGACTGCGTGAATACCACATATAAGCCATGACTGCGGCGCTGATGATGCTGCAGTGACCAGCGGGGGTTCGACCCAAGAATGTGACCGGTAATCACTACCAGATGACGGTGAGTGAGAGCTCGGAATAGATCCACTCCACCGACGCTGTAATAACAACACACTAAACAGCCACAGAGCGCATGTCATTTATTTAACTTCACAGTAGGATGAAAGTTTGGCCTTGGAAAGAATGGAGAAAGAGAGCTGGGACTGTGGCGAGGAGCGGTGGGAGAAGATGGAGTATGCTAACGTGTTTCTTTGACATTAAGAATAGTGGGTGTTGTGCCTTCTGAACCACGCACAGGCCTAAATATAAATGTGTCCAGGCAGAAACATTGCACCATGCTGGGTCATTAGTCAGCTCCTTGTGATGGGCCCTTTGGCATTCACTATGGCCCTGTGATTCCAGATACTAATACTGTGAATACTGGGAGAGGTACATAAGAATCTCACTGCATGTAATGTGTATGTGACAAACAATAATAAACTTATGCAATTATGGGTGTCTTTATAAATCTGCTTTATATCTTTTTTTCCCCTTGAAGCTCTGTAGCTCTTGATTGGCTACAACTAAAACAAGCAAATGGTGTTGACACGCTTAGCAAATTTCAGAAAACGGTAACGGGAAATTCAGAAATCGGTAGGGGGGGGAAATTGGAGCATGTGGCAAATTTGGAACACAAACAAATATAGACCAATTTAAAATGTCAATGCTCAATTACCGGTTAAGAATGCCTATGACCCTTTTGTTTCTTTGTCATCTTATCCCCAAAAAAGCAAAGCAGAATACTATTTTTGTGTAACTGTATTCGAAATACCTGTGGTTATGAGCTTTGGGTAATGACCGAAAGGATAAAAGTCGATACAAGTGGTCGAAATGACCTTCCTCTGCAGAGTGGCTGGATGCTTCCTTAGGATCTCAGTCACACGGGAGGAGCTTGGAGTGGAGCCGCTGCCTGGGACGCGCTGCAGGTGTCTCTCAGCTGGCCAGGGAACGCGTCGGGTTTCTGCCCGCATGAGATGGTGTGTGGATAGGGAAGACTGGATGTCTATGCTTAGACAGCTACATCCGTGAACTGGCAACGGATGAAGTGGAATAAAATGTAATGGAATGGAACTATTTTTTATACAGTACATGTGTGTTTTGTGTTTGTTAAAATAGATGATTGATTAAAATAAAGAATACATACAAATATTTGATCATACAATTTTTACAATATATTACAAAAATACTACCCGTAAGGAAAACGCTGGAGTGAGAGTGCAAACCACCACCGCATTTTCAAAGTATTCTCTCTAACACTGCTCGTCTGTGTCTTGAAGGAGCTCAGACTCTGCTCCTAAACATCGACAGCACCCTGGCCCAGGATAACTTGGGTAAAATACACGGATGCTGCTTCAACTACATGTTTTTATTCTGCATATTAGCTCCTAGTACCAGCTTGAAAGAGTGATGACTAATAACCATAGTCATGGCCGGGACCAAGTCACTTCAATACCGCTTCCTGTGGACTTTCATATGCAATAAAAAAAAACATAATCTTTCAGATAAATTGCCCACAGTATTTATTTGACGATTATGAAGACTCCTTCTTGGGTCACACAGCCCCGGAAACATTTGGCATTCTGAGCCATGCAGAGACCTCTTCACCGGTCCCACTTGAAGGTCAGTGAACGCGACTGGGTGCCTCTCACGGTGAATACCAAGCTGAGAGAAAACCCAGGAGACAATCAGGGCATAAAAGCTACAGGTCCCAGAGGAGGACGAGAGCCAGCAGGAGTGAGGAGCAAAGTATAGTGCAGAACAGGTGGTCCCCCTTCAAAGGTACACCACCAGCTGATTTATGTGTCTGCAGAAAGGCCCACTGCTGCTATCAGTAGTTATAAAGCAGGTGGATACATTCTGATGCTTAGCTTGAATTCAGTCGCAAAGAAACCTGTTGCCATCATTAAAATCATTCATTCACATAGCATGTACTGCTTCAATGTACTCAGAGAATAAACTATTAAGCATCATGTGTTGATTAAAAAGATAATAAAATGTTTTGTCATTTCAGTAATGTATTCATTAATTGTGTATGTGGCTATCGCCCTCTTCTGGGGTGACAGTGGCTCAGTTGGTAGAGCATTGGCCTTTGAGCCTGAAGGTTGTGGGTTCGAGCCCACCATAAGACCTATTTCACAATTCCCACTGATGTCTGCTGTCGTTGTGTCCTTGGGCAAGATAGTTAACCCCACTTTGCCTGAAGCCCCTGCTGAAAGATTTCAGCTCCTGTGGACTCACCACCTGCAGGAGGATCAGTGAGGGGCTGGTGCTCTGTGTACTGGGTGCAGCTCTGACTGCCACCCCCCAGACCCAGAAATGGATTAAGGGGAAGAAGATGGATGATTCTGATTTAAAGCAATATTTTCTTTATTTAGAGTAATACCAAAGCACCATATATATGGGACTCTGGGTTAAAAAAAGCTATCAATTTGAAATTTTGTCTTTTGTCATGACGTCCCCTCACTAGACAAATGAGGGGACAATAGTTACAACTAGTTTGTCTTTATTGAAATATAACTGCTTTTCTTGGAAGGTTCCACAGTTGGCATGAACTCAATTTGATTTATTTTTGTACCGTCCACACTCACAGCAGCAGTCGCCTCACGGGGCTTCACAAAAGTGTGGATTTTACCAACAGAGTTAGAAAATCAAACAATGAAACGGCCATTGGTCAATTAAAGACAGCAGATCCTTTGTTTCCTTCCTTCCATCATAGCAGAGAATAACCCCCCCAAAGAAAATACTTTCAGGTTTTTACACTGCACTGTATGATATATGCACAAAATAGGTTGCGTTCATGTGACATCACAACATTCCAAAGAGCCAATAGTTTAGCCTGGTGGTGGACAGCTGAAAAATCTATCCTATAACTGTCACAAATAACATTTCTAGTTTATACCGTATAATATTTGTTAAATACTATGATCACTGTCACATACTATAGTAGTACATACAATACATATAATTATAAGTTAAATCATCTTTTGCATAAAGACGACTTAAAGTGGTGACAGTATTATAATAGATCACTATCGAAAGAACGATCTGAGAAATTATTTACATTTTTTCCCCCATAGTTACATTTTAGGTCTGTAAATAAAGATAATATGCTTATTGCTGTTACATACATATTTCACGTTTGACTCAAATGATGTTGGAGTGGGTTAAGTTTGGGGACAATTCATGAAGCATAGGACATTACATTTCAAAAAGGCCTTTCTCATTGCCACCATAGAATTTCATCAAAGTGTATGGACCTGCACTTCTTTATCATCATAATTTTATATAAATTGTAACTAACTTATTTGGTCTCATACCAATAATAAATGCAATATTATCATAGATTAAGTGGACAGATATTAATGATTTCTTCTCATTTAATACAGAAGAAATTGTTAGAAGGTGCAAAAAGATCCTCATTGTTTTAGAAAAAATAAAAACGTGTCCCTCTTCTGACCTCTTATTTTCCTATTTGTGTTTTTAAATATTTAAATTGTGATCCATAAGTGTTTGTTTCCCTACCCTGTGTTTGAAAACGGCTATTTATAATCTTCGTGTTGCAAATGTATTCATAAATCTTCGGGTCAAACACACACTCGCGCACACAAACACGCGTTTATTGGTCAGTGAAGTATTTGGAACCATTACAAAGGAAGCAAAAATAATGAATTGTTGCCTTTTTGCCATTTATATCTAGCAAAATACATATTCATTGTTCGAAGACAGAAGTGTGTTTATTAGATGCAAACATTGATCAGGCTTTCGTAGCGGAAATATTCTTCTGTCCCTCATTGGAATGTAGCCAATGAATGTTGTAGTATTTTGCATGTTGATTGTGTACACTTGTCAAATCAATCAATCAATAAATATAGATGTACTAAAGCTTAGGCAGAAGATGAATTGAATTGCCTTTTGATAATAGGCAATTCGTAAATTACTTTATAAATGAACCTCTTTCTAGAAAGTTACCCACAACATATACTGAATGACATTTAAAGTAATAATATATAGTGTTGAGACAATATATATATATTATTAATACAAATTTTTCTCATATTCTGACACACGAACACATACCCCGGGAGATCTCAGAAAAAAACAAGAGCAAAAGGAACACAAACAAACTGGTGTAATGTGTCTGCTTTCTCTGCAGATCGCGGTTGGAAAGGTCCACCTCTCATCATGAATAATCATATTTTCTTGTCAAATAATGGAGGAAAAATGTTCTGGGATGTTTTCTAGAAATCATCTTGGGTCCATGTTTCCCTGATGCATGTGTACAATGGTCCAATCCCACTGCATGCATTTTGAAACATATTTCCAGGGCCCATAATGATGTGACGTGTGTTCCCATTTCTATTTAAATTCAAAAGCCTATTCCTATACAGATAAGCGGTTTTCATGTATGACTTTGTAAGTGTGTGAAAACCAGGCTGATACGTCTCACCGTGTCTCTACCTGAGTCTGTGGACACTGAGTGAACAAAAATACAGACCTTCTCTTCTGTGGATGCATTCATTCAAGCTTCAAAGTGCATTGCGTACACACATATTACCAATAATAATTGGTAATATGTAATATTACCAATTATTATTATTATTACCCCATAATACTGGGGAAGCATCAAGTTAATTATTCAGCTTTCCTGAAATGTGTCTGTTATTGGCAGATGATCCTTCAACACAATAATCTACATTTAATTGTGGGACATTAAGAATTGTTCTCCATGAAACATGAACTCATTGTTCTTTGTCACGATGGTCCTTCTGCTTCCCAGCTCCTGCACAGCAGGACTCCACCACTGCCTTTCTGCTCTGCGGGGGCGCTATTAGCCAGCTAATGAGCTGAGCCCTATCTTTCTATGAGCTTTGTTTATAGATGACTTTTCATTTATTCTTGTGATTAGATTAAAACCAAAAGTCAAGAGCGAGGAGCACAAATAATTCAAACGAGCACCCTGTCATTGGTAGAGGACATTGTTGTCTGGTATAACTAGATCTGTTCTCATTAGCGAGATAATAAGTATTGTACAGAAGAGCATGGTCCCACTATTTAAAACATAAAATCTTATAATTACTAGATATTATCTCATAATTACACCCTAATTATCTGTGCCTATTTTTTTCTTTGCCCAATAATCTCATCGAGCAGTTGCAGTCCAGTGGTTTGTGAATCATTGAATCAAAACTATAGAAGACCAAGACTGCAACAGAAAAAAAAAAATCACCTCTTCACAGCAGCAGCATCCTTTTCCTTAAAACATTCATTTGATTATTTCATAAAACTTTGCCTTTGATACAATTGGACAGAGGTGTCAAACTCATATTGGTTGGTGGCCATAATGAACTGATAGGGGGTCAAAATAAGGGGGTTTCCTTTTCTTATTCGGGCGGCACAGTGGCTGAGTATAGCACTCTCGCTTCTCAGCAAGAAGGTTTGAATCTTGGTCGGAACAGGACCTTTCTGTGTGGAGTTTGCATGTTCTCCCCGTGTCTGCCTAGGTTTCCTCCGGGTACTCTGGTTTTCCCTACCTCTAAAAACATGTACAGTCCAATTGGTCTGGCATGCGCCTCCTGTACTGGCAACCTCACTCCCATCTCTCTGTGGAGTGAGAGGACAAATGGTGACTCTGAAAGGCGGTAAATAGATAAAGATTACTTACTTATAATTTGTTTTTTTATATGAAGGTCTTTTGACATGACTTTAATGTGACATGAGTTTCACTACTATTTTCTGGAGTTTATTGTTTAGATTCAACCAAAACTGGACCACACACATATGGTTTTATTTTTAACTATTTAACTTCTAATGGTGTGTTGGGATAGAATGTTAAATAAAATACATGACATTTGGTTGTTTCACTGAGAAAATAGATGCTGTACAACATGCCTTCGTAGCTCATTACCATCAATCTTGTGGGCCGGATTTGGCCCACGAGCCTGAGTTTGACATGCCTGCTGTTGGAAATGTTGTCCAATAAACAATGAAAAGCCAAAGCAGTTTCTCTGGTGGGTTTGTTTATACTGATGCTGCAGTGAAGCTGTACAGCAAAAACAGAATGCTTTCTTCATGTGCTACTATTGCCAAGAGCATTATTCAGCTGCTCCACATTTCACAAGTCATGATGATGTGTGAAAGTGTGTGGACTCACATTGGAACACTCCATCATTTGGAGACTTTAGATTCCAAATTTTAGAACAAGTTTAAGGCAATTCCATCCAGGGATTTAGAATCTCATGCCATTTCAACATGTTTGTCCATTGGGTTCTCCTGGTTAGGCACGTCACGTGGTTCTGGTTGTTGTGCACTTGAACCACGCACCTCTGGAGGACGCAGATGAGATGAGGTCTGGCTGTGGGCAGTGGAGATGTGTTTTACAACTACCTATTATGACTGTAGTAATCTGTACCTTGCAAGCATAGAACGTAAGAGGCAAAAATGTATTTTCTGTATCGTATCTGTCAGGTCAGACCTCTCTTTCCCTGCGTCTCCACTCGACATCATAAATGTATGGACTAATGCTGGTAACTGTTGTTCTTCCAGAGGAGCTCCCAGCGGCCGCTTCAGCGCTGACAGATCGCTCCTGGATCCAGTCCCTGCTCGCCCGCCTCTGACCCTCTGAACAATGTGGACAGACCAGTGAGAGGAGAGCGTTGGATTTGACCCAATCCTACTGAATAAGTAATACTTCCAGACTCTCAATATTTCAGATTTTTGAGTTTTGTGAAGTCTGGACATGCACCATCTCATGACACAAAAAATAAAAGCAAAGTTAAAGGTTTAAAGGAGGATTTTCCTAAATTCTTCTCCACTTTTTGAAAAAAAACTCTTTGGTCTTATTTGAAAAGCACATATCACCAAATGATTGACACGTGGGAGGACCAATAGTCTTGCTGTAGAAAATCATTCTATATACCTTTAATATTAGTTGTATTTGCATCGATCACCAAAACTCAATATCTAATTTGTAAAAAAAAAAAAAGATAATTTTAAATTATTGGCTTTCATTTCAGAAATGTGAGTTATCAAGTCTGTTTTATGTACTTGGTGCTTTTCTTTCATATTTTGTTTTTTGACCCTTTTCAGCATCCTATAATGATTTACCATTTGGGCGAGAAAATATGACCAACGTCTTCCAGAGCCCTGAATACTGAAAATAAAAAGTAGTGACTCTGTATATCAGTTTATCTACAGATAAACTTCTCAGTGTATTGAGGTCAGTAAATAACACAGTTTTTGTCCCTGCCAACGTAGAAGTGTTAGCAGATGTTACATGAAAAACTGAATGTATTCCTGAACCGAACAGACATAATACATTCACTCTCCTTACATTTTTTTGTTTCACTTGATCTATCTCCCACCGTATCTGCGAGTTATACAATGTTAATGCATTCACAGTACATAGCGCTGCATTTTTCTCATACTTGTTCCTCTGGTATTTTATGCTTCCTCTGAGACCACAGACCCATAGCTCTTCTCCGGGGAGAGTGCAAAAAATCCAGATTAATTACAGAAGCTAAAGAGGCATGAAGAGCAGACCACCAGAGGACTGCGATTGGCCACATGTGAGGCTGGTTCTTTTGACAACAGCAGAGAGGAGTCCTTTCACCAGCGAGTGCACCGTGAGAGAGAGAGGAGTGGTGCGGAGCCGGGGCCACATGTGGAGACATTCTCAGCGGTCATGGTTCGATGAGGTGGTTTAGACGTGGACTGACCTCCTATGGCTGCTTCTCTGTGCGACCAAACCCTCCAGGAAAACTGTTAGATCAATGACTGGGTGTTAACTTTCAGGTTTTTTTGTTTTCATTTGCAGTAAAACCCCATTGGAATTCATTTGCAAGTCCCCCAGACGAGCACATTAACAAAAACAAGGTTAAAAGTACAGAAATAAAACAAACAAAAAAGTGCTGGAAACAAAAGGGAAAGAAGACCGGGCCCTCTTGTAGCAACTACACCTAAACAGACACAACACAACTCAATATAACACAACCACAATGAACTGGACTCAGTGCCAGAGAAAGTGGGAAAGACGAGAGCAGCTCTACACTTCCTGAATGTGGGACGAATTAAAAAAGCATGAATATCTGGTGCAGCAAAAGCAATTGATGTATATTCATCTACGTAAGGTCCTTCACAACTTTAATTCCATCCATTTGTTTTAATAGTATAAACAATTAGTGACCACAGACCTAAAACATTATAGCGCTGATGTATCATTGAAAAAAACCAAAACCATGTACTCGATGACCACAGTCTTTATAACTTTTCTCTTTCTTTATTTTCTTTGGTAAAATCCAGCTGGCCTGGTCTCTGCCTAAACCTGAGCAGCTGGTAATAAATCAGAGCCAGGAGTGTGTGCAGGTAAGACATGGATGGAGCAAAAACTACATTCTGTTCCATTAAACCTCTTTTTAAGACCTTTTCCACAGAGAAACCTGCACAGACTGTCACATATCTGTAGGACACAGACAGCAAACTGTGTGGAAGTGTAAAAAGGACTGAAATAACAGGGGGATAGTGATGCGTAACTGGGTCACCTCTGTTGTGTTCACATGTTGCAGGTGTTACTATGCATTTTCTTCGCTCGTGCACATGTGCCCATGGAGGGGGGCCGGAGAGAGAAACCCAGGGGCTTTTTTGTTTTTTATGAGCCTGGCTTCCTGCAGAGTGGCGTGGCCAGGGCCAGTCATAATGGCCAGGTCAAGATTCAATCATTTGCCTGCAGGGATTAACCTCTCGTGGGCTTTGGGGAAGGTCAGCAGGAGGGTCTGAGGCCGCTGCAACAGAAGCCACTTACAAAGTTGTTGTTATTGTTTCCTGATGTGGAGGCTTTCATGGAAACGGGTCAGCGAGGTCAGGAAGGTAAAAAAAGTAAAGTAAAAATGCACTTCAAATGCTCAAAAATAATAATAATAATAATAATAATAATGATAATAGTGATAATAGCACTTATATAGCTCTTTTCAGGACACTCAGAGATGCTTCACTAGACGTCATTATTATTTCACTCCGGTGATAAACTACTGCTGTAGCCACAGCTGCCCTGGGGCACTGATTGCAATCTCGCTACTCAGTAAGAAGGTACTGGGTTCGAATCCTTGTCAGAACAAGATCTCTCCAGGTGATCCGGTTTCCCCTACCACAAAAAACCTGCACCATAGGTAAAATCCTCCAGATCCGATCCTAACCAAGCCGAGCATGAACATCTGGAGATGAGTCCCTGGTGTTGCTCCTGACGGAAACCATAGGGGCATCAGGATGGGTCTAATACAGAGGATTAATTGCCGTACGGGGAATGATGATCTGCACATTTACAGTTACAAGGACACAACAACAGTTTGGCACTTTACAACCGCAGCCGCCGCTCTGTGTCACCATGTGTTTCCGTAGGTCTCCCATCACAGTACTAACCAGGCCTTGTGTTGCTTAGCTTCAGAGGTCTGACGGGATCTGGCCTTCACCTGCATGTATGGCCAAACATGTTAACAATCAGGCGTGGAGTTCCAATTTTTGTTTCTTAGGTTTTTAAATGAGTCTCAGCAGATTTCACTCTAATGTCCTGAAATTGTTATTATTAATGAGAACAAAAATTTAATAAAACACACACATACCTTTTTCAGTGTGTGTGTAGTTGATTTAGATTGATGGGGTAGTGTGTGGTGCAAATGCAGAGGTGAATTATGCCAGAGGAGTACAGTATAAGTCATCCACCACTCTTAATGGAAATGTTATTGCTTCATCTGGAATGTTCCACAGCCTTGCACAGACAATAGCATCATCATCAAAAAACATGTATTCTTACTATGTATGAGCAGACTCACAGCCACACAGATGTTACCGTGATGTGGATTTCATTTTTGTACTTGGTTTTATTTTGACTTTTCAGTTCTTTTTTTAGTCATACCTCCTGTCCTGTTGCCCTGTTAAATGTCTGCCCGCCCTGATGTACCTGTGTCTCTCTGTCCCTGTATGTACTGTACCTGTGCTCCTCTCCCATTGTTATTGGTCCATTGTCTTTGTTTGTCCTCGTCCGTTGGTTTCTGGCTTCCCGTGTTCCGTTGGATTTAGAATTTTGAATTTGTTTTTACCTTGGACTTTATATTTCATTATGTTCCTTGACTTTTATGTTCATTAAATCAAATGACCCTAGTAAAAGCCACAAGGCGCTGTTTCCTTCCACACTGAGCTACACATGGTGTGTCAGAAAAACTTGGCCTTTAACCCGCCTTGCGACTGAAACTGTGAACACAACTGAATATAGCGGTAATTAAGAGAGCGATAAAACCAAACCTTTTTATAATGGCTTGTGTCGGTCATGTGAACGTTATTATAAAACTACACATGTCGCACAAAGGAATATACTTTGCATAATTACAGTTTAACAAAAGTGAAGCTTTTAATCACGCTGCTTTTTCCTTTATGAAGTTGTCCTTTTTTGAAAATGTTTGTACAGCTCCACATGGATGATAAACGTGTCATTGTCCATTTTAATGTGATCTTCTGGGGTCTAAAGTGCACTGCGACATTAGAGTTATTTCAAAATTCAGTGTGTTTTGACAATTTTATTTCGACACATTCTTGTCCGGTGAAAATGAAAAAAAAAACTTTTCCCACAGTTGTCCCGAGTTGACACACCATTCCACAGTTGGAAAAAAGCCTGGAGTGAACTTTTACCGTTAGAAAAACTGTTTATTTACAACACAATGTTTTACTCTATAACATTATAGCAGAAAAACTACTCATTCAAGGGAACAGAAAGTTGTTTTCTCTTTACAACAGCATAAGCCAGAGTTGGAGTATAAAAGAAAACAGGCTTGTGAAAGTGAGAAAAAAAAAAGTTTAACCATCGCACATTTCAGCTGTGAAAATACAGCTCCAGGTCTGAACGCAGAGCCTTTCAAATAGAGCAGGATGGAAAGGTCCACAACCAAAAGTTTATTTGAATTTGGGTTTGAGAAATTGGCAATACCATGATAACGATGGGAACTAATGGTCTGCCGGTCGTATTTATTTTTAGAAATGTGAATAAAACGGAGGACAAAACCTTGCGAAATCTTTTTATAAACATTATTATGTATTTCCTATGTAGATTTTCTATAGTTAAATCAATATAAATGTGTTTGATGCAGTCTAATAATGCTGACTCCTCTCTCTCCTTCCCCACATCCCCCATTGCTACTACAGACCACCTTGAAGTCATTTCGGGATAAGACCAGTTCCGCTTTGAGACACACATCTGTAAAGAAAACAAACAAATTGGCAGCTCATACCTGCTTCCCTGTTGACACTTGCAATAACAAAGATAATTGGAAAAACGCGTCATTTAAACACGTTGGAATAAGTGAAATGTCTATGAAAAAACAGATGGCAGCGTCCATTACAAACAAACAGCGACAAAATCCACAGTTTATTTTAGTGTTTTGAATAGAGCCTTTCATTATTTCCTCTTCATATAGTTTTTTTTTTTTATAAGACACAGCAATAATGTTGTTAAAAGTATTGACAGTTATTTTATAAGCAATACTGAAACTAATATTCAAACTAGGATCATGGGCATGTGGGATTGTTTTTAACCAAACTGTAAAGCTCTTTGTGTATAATTTGATTGAAAATAGATACTAA